GGGCTTATCCCAATATCCCCCCCCCCCCCCCCCCAACCATAAGGGGTTAAATTGCAGCAGCTACTAAGTATGCGTGTGAAAATTTCAAAAGCATGAGAGGGAGCCATCTGGCTCCTGCTCCTACTGGGTATTTAGGGATGAAAAGGGAAACTGGAAAGGTAAATAGTGTATTGCTTGGTGTGTTGATTTTCAGCTGAGATTTCTCCCTTCAATGCCTAGTCATATTTGCCCACCTAAATGAGTGGGATTGACTTCCCAAAAAGGGGGGCAGAGAGGGGGGGGTGTGTGTGTGTGTGTAAATTAGTATTTAAGCTCTGGGAGAGCTGTGCAAAGCAACACACTGCCCACTCTAACAGCTGAGGCAAATTCATGCTGGTCTGCATCCAGGAAAAGGAGTTTCTTGCAGCCAGGGGCTCTGCAGGACTTGCAGGCAGAGTGAACTGCCTTACATGGCAAGACAAAGAGCCTGAGATCTGGGGCAATCAGCATGATGACCAGGGAGAGTTTGGACTGGGAAGTGAATGCTTTCCCAGCTTTGTGTATGCCCAGCCAACTTGCTTATTTTTTCTTTTATTTATTTTTTGTTTGTTTGTTTTTTGTTCCCCTTTTACTTTTTTACTTTCTAAAAAAAATTTCCCCTGGGATAGAGATAGAAAGAAAGTGGGGGGCCAAGGGGCAGAGGGATGCTGCTCTGCTGGTAGCCCTCTGATTTGTCATCTGGGCCAATGTCTGTCTCATCTGGGAGGCCAGGCCTGGAAACTTCCCAGACATGCCCTCACGGTCTGCTGTGCTGGGAGGACTCCCGGCTTGGCCAGTAATGACCCTAATGACAATTTTTACCCTGTGATTGTGTGTGTCCCTTCACACTACATGTATCTCTCATTCCATTTGTAGGAGACAGTCAAATCTCCTCAAGTCTATCTAGGCCATGAGCAGAGGAAAAAGCCAGTCCTAGGTGTGAACCAAAAATGTATCTCTAGCTCTGCTGTAACTGTCTGCACATTTTTCATCACCCTGCACCCCCAAGTCAGGCCCATTCTCCACCTGCCACAACACTTTAGGTTCACATAATAGCCTGTGAGTCCCAAACCCTGTGACTCTTCTTTTGTAAAGGGAGCTAAACAACTCTTACATGTCTAGCTTAAAAATAAGCTGTGCCTTGAAGTCATCTATTTATGCCTTTTTGCTTGTAGTTTTATTGAAAAAGCTGGTATTAACATATTTTTATTCAACAACAGTTAGCTAATTTGTGCGACACAAAGAATGCAGCCATGAACAACAGCTTTCAAAACAATCAGATTTACCAACTTTACCACCACTTACTCTACACCACTGAAAGCTCAAACTTAAAAAGAAAAAGAAAGTTGGAAACGTTCACAATGACGATGTTAAACTTTCCATACATTCAATAAACCGATCTGTAGTAGTGATGTCAAAGACAGGAATGGAATACTGGTCTCTGAGAGGTTTCTATTTATTTCCTCTATAATCACTTCATGGTATTTTGGTTGGGTATTTAATTCGTTTTATAAAGCTCCAAAGATATATTTCTTTATTTAATTTTTAACATGTTCTTTTTGGTACCCAAAGCTGTAACAGAGTAAGGTACTTAAAATTAAAAACAAAAAATTGTTGAATTAAGATCTGCTTTATAATAAGTTATCTATAGAATCTTACTTCAGAATGTGAAAAGCTAAATATGTTTTTCAGTATTTCTAGCTGTAAATGCCAATATGAGCTGATAGCTTTTTTTTTTTCTTTTTTGAGCTGCAAAGGTTAATGGAGGAGGCCAAAAGTCAAAGAAATTGTGTGACACCCTTGAAGCCGTAGCTTGGCATTAACAAGTTTTCTGTACAATTTACCACATTCTTAAACCTTTTTAACAAGGAAAAAAACCACAACAAAACCAAAACAAAAGCAATTTTTAAAAATTTCATTAGAATAAGTATGTACATATACTGTCCATGCCTGCTACAGCATCCAGCATTTTACAAACAAACACTCTTCATTCCCTTTAAAATTAACCTACACATTTCATAACGTGTTTAGTGTGGCTGGAAATGGATGCACGCGTGTTTGTGCTTCTACACACAGGATACACAGTATTGGGTTAGAAAACCATAAACATACAGATTTTATGTGTTGTATTAAGCTGTCATATAAAAGCTGTCATTTTTTTACTTCTTGTAAGGAGATTTTTAGCCACCCTTTCTCCTAAACCAAAATATAAAAGCATGCAGACCTCTCCAGCAGCTCCTGCTCTACTTACCAAGAAATCAGTGCATAGGGGCTTAAAGATCTTTTTTTTCTGAGGTGTTTTAATATGGGCAGATTAACAGGTCATCTTAATTGAACTCTTTTATTCATGGTTTGGGGAGAAATCCTTTGGGATACTAATTTTTCAGCCAGAGATATTAGGGCTGTAGCAGAACTTTATTTTCCTGAACTAAGAGGACTCCCTTGCCCACTGCAGCATTCCCACATAATTCCCATATGTGCTGCACTGATTTAGTGTACTTTCATTTTCCATTTACATCATGGTTCATTTGAAAATAGTGATATATCTAAAGGTATTTATGTGGAAGAAGCTTTTGTTTGGTTTGGAGTTTTTGATTTTTCATGTTTCTCCAGGAATTCTTTTGCTGCCCAGCAGTGGACTCATTTTAAAACAGTAAACATCACTGAGCAGTGCTGCATCTCCCAGTACCATTCTTTTACAGTGACAGATACCACAGCATTGCCTGTATTCCCCAAAGGCCAGGATTAAAATAACTTTGCTGCAGTAAACAACCAAGGGACTTTCTCAGGTGTCTAGCAGTGATATAACTTTATTCCCACTGAAGTCAATCACTGAACAGCACTTCAAGGACAGCACTTCTAGCCAAGGTTTCCAGAACTCCAACCCCCAAATGGTAGGACAGGTTTTTGTGTTAACTGCCAGGCTGTGTCTGAACAGCCAGCTTATCTGGTGTGGCCATACCAAGTTTTTTAATAGTCCTCCATGTGATGAAGATACTAGTTTTTGTTTTAAACAGAGCACAAAGAGAACTATGGAGAATGCAATTCTTAAAATAATCTGGCTGAGTCTAATACCAGTCAGATACTTACTCAGGAACTTGAAGCATGAAGTTAGTAATGTGAATGAATGAATAAATAAATAAATAAATAAGATGTTGTAAGGAAGGGAATGGAACAAGTGAGACAGGGCAGCTTTTCACCAGCAAAGATTCTGCTTCCACGTATAATTGTAAAGAGGTCCCTCCAATGTGCCACATATTCTGAAGGGATGTGGCTATTCATTCACTCAGACAGACTTGGCTTAGTTTAAAGACAGGAAAAAAATTACTGAAAAAAAAATCATCAAGAGACTTAAGCAAAAAGCTCTAATAATGTGGTAAATGCTGTGGACTGCAAAAGCAGGCAATGCACAAGAATATCATGGTCCTGTGAACCTCTGAGACCCTTGAAGGAACTGCCAGGAGCTGAGGAGTCTCAGCCTTCCTCAGGAAAGGTCCCAGAATGAATAAACACCCCTGTTTGTTTAAAGGAACCAATACAGACCACAGTACTGGATTTGCAGTCGTGCCTTTTACTCAGTTGCAGTGATGGAGAATAATTGGCTTGCCACCAATAATGATACAGGCTGAGGGATGAAAGGATGCAACCTACAAATCCCACCACAAAACCCACAATTTTTGTGAAGATCATATCCTTCTACAACTCTCAAGAGGCTGGTTTGTAAATATAGAGGGATATTGATAAATCTAGTGCATTTCTGAGTTCACTTTATCCTGAAATATGTACAGATGAAGGGATGTGCTATTCAATCACTCAGACAGACTTGGCTTAGTTTAAAGACAGGGAAAAAAATTACTGAAAAAAAAATCATCAAGAGACTTAAGCAAAAAGCTCTAATAATGTGGTAAATGCTGTGGACTGCAAAAGCAGGCAATGCACAAGAATATCATGGTCCTGTGAACCTCTGAGACCCTTGAAGGAACTGCCAGGAGCTGAGGAGTCTCAGCCTTCCTCAGGAAAGGTCCCAGAATGAATAAACACCCCTGTTTGTTTAAAGGAACCAATACAGACCACAGTACTGGATTTGCAGTCGTGCCTTTTACTCAGTTGCAGTGATGGAGAATAATTGGCTTGCCACCAATAATGATACAGGCTGAGGGATGAAAGGATGCAACCTACAAATCCCACCACAAAACCCACAATTTTTGTGAAGATCATATCCTTCTACAACTCTCAAGAGGCTGGTTTGTAAATATAGAGGGATATTGATAAATCTAGTGCATTTCTGAGTTCACTTTATCCTGAAATATGTACAGATTGTTTGTCGCTGCTATAGCAATGATGTTCTCAGTTGGGTGCCACGCTGTGTGCAAGATCTTCTTAGTAAAGTCCAAACTGTCAACACTGATGTCATCTTTCCTCCGTTTGCCTCCGACGCAGACTCTCCGGGGCTTAAGAATAGCTCGTGGTTTGCTGCTCTCTCGGGATGCCTCCAAGGTCACATCCCGCTTGGTGTTTCGGTCAAACATTCGGAAAAAGTTGTTATATGCACCTGTCATGATCACACTGCAGAGAGAAAGAGAGAGAAAACCATGACAATTCAGCAGCAGTTTGTGGGAAGCCTACCAACTTGACTGTGTCAGGACAGCTGAGCTTCAGCCTTAGGGTAACATGTCTTATGGTTTCAGCTGGGAA